GAAGATGATGATCTCAGTGAGTCACTTACCTGGTTTAACTGTCCAACCCATCTCCCTGGAAAGGGGCGCGATCCAGCCGCTGGAGACTGACGCGGCACGCGTCACTGAGTGTCCCCGGTGCAGCAGTCCCAGAGGACTAGCAGGAAACCCAGCCTGGACAGGGATTCAGAACAGACAGGAACATACAGAACAGACAGGATCCAGGCATCCTAAAGCTCCAGGCAGGTTCAGAGTCTGAAAGATTCCGGAAGCGTGACCAGGCGGACACGCACAGGAGCAGACGGGATCAAGAGCAGACGGGATCAGGTGCAGACGGGATCAGGTGCAGACGGGATCAGGAGCAGACGGGATCAGGTGCAGACGGGATCAGGTGCAGACGGGATCAGGAGGAGACGGGATCAGGAGCAGACGGGATCAGGTGCAGACGGGATCAAGAGCAGACGGGATCAGGAGCAGATGGGATCAGGTGCAGACGGGATCAGGAGCAGAAGGGATCAGGTGCAGACGGGATCAGGAGCAGACGGGAGCAGGAGCAGACGGGATCAGGAGCAGACGGGATCAGGTGCAGACAGGATCAGGAGCAGAAGGGATCAGGAGCAGACGGGATCAGGAGCAGACGGGATCAGGAGCAGACGGGATCAGGAGGAGAAGGGATCAGGAGGAGACGGGATCAGGAGCAGAAGGGATCAGGAGCAGACGGGATCAGGAGCAGACGGGATCCGGAGCAGATGGGATCAGGAGAAGACGGGATCAGGTGCAGACGGGAGCAGGAGATCAGGAGCAGAAGGGATCAGGAGCAGACGGGATCAGGAGCAGACGGGATCAGGAGCAGATGGGATTAGGAGCAGACGGGATCAGGAGCAGATGGGAGCAGGAGCAGACGGGAGCAGGAGCAGACGGGATCAGGAGCAGACGGGAGCAGGAGATCAGGAGCAGACGGGAGCAGGAGCAGACGGGAGCAGGAGCAGACGGGAGCAGGAGATCAGGAGCAGACGGGAGCAGGAGCAGACGGGAGCAGGAGCAGACGGGAGCAG